CCCCCCCCCCCCGAGGAAAAATGTCTGAAAGAAGCATGGATTTCACGGTTCAGTGACATAAAAGAATCGACATAACCCGAGGAGAATATCCTAAGACAAAGAGAGAAGTTGGCGGTCCCACTTCAAAAACGTCGACATAACAGGGTTGGCGAGTTAACCGAGGTCGAGATACGTGTGTTCGACTTTACATCATCTCAATAACTCTTCTCACATTCATATTTGCTTGCTTGCCTGCTGCACAGCTCCAGAGGATCCAATCTATTATCTTGGCCACTAGATCAGGGATGGCGAACTCGTGATGTGTTGCTCCAAGTCGTAAGTATCCTTCATTTAACTAGCGCTACTTTGCATTATCTTCTTGCTCTCTTTCAATTGAAATTGATGATTTAAATGTCACAACGATACAATTTATTTATGTGTTTGTGTATTAGGGAAGTGTATTATCTCTGAAAAGTGTGCGCATTAATAATAAATGACTAATCAAATAAATCGTTGTTTTTTTGGTGTTTGTAAGTTGTTAGGCGCAATGACACGCTAAGAGATGACTAGCGATCATAATGTCCCGTGACGCCATGTCGTTTGGCCACTCAGCTGATGTAGTGGCTGATTTCATAGAATTCATGTTAAGTTTTTGTTGCCACCAAGAATTAGAAGACAGCCACATGAGATGTGGACACAACAACAATATGATTAAACAAGAGTTAGAAGACAGCCACATGAGATGTGGACACAACAATAACTGATTAAACAAGAGCTAGAAGACAGCCACATGAGATGTGGACACAACAATAACATGATTAAACAAGAGCTAGAAGACAGCCACATGAGATGTGGACACAACAATAACATGATTAAACAAGAGCTAGAAGACAGCCACATGAGATGTGGACACAACAATAACATGATTAAACAAGAGCTAGAAGACAGCCACATGAGATGTGGACACAACAATAACATGATTAAACAAGAGCTAGAAGACAGCCACATGAGATGTGGACACAACAATAACATGATTAAACATAAAGAATGTGCAATTATTTTATTTTTGTGGGGTTTTGTCTCCCCCTAATTGTTTTAGTTTTTTTTGTGTGTGCAAGTGTGAAGTTTATGTTTTTTGTCAGCGAGGTCTGAATTTATAATCATACCGAAAGAATTTGGATAAAATTTTTAAGAAAAAGTTGAAAAGATTTAAATACGTTTTAGGATGTTGAGTGCACACACACGCGTGTATATCACTCTATTATAACATTAACTTTTTTTTAAAATGTTAATATATTTCAGTAGTTTTTTGCTGGCATCCGTCCGGGATTATTATACTTGAAGGATTATAAGCTGGTTCCCAACAGCAAATCGCCTCTCTCCACGCCGCTGGGTAACCCAAGGTAACATCATTGGATGATACAGCTTGGCACCAGTGACGTCGCAGGAGTTGTCGGAATGTTTCATTCTATCAATGTTATCCGCATTTCGGGACTCCATCTCCGGGTTTGATTTCAGAGTTTCCTTCTCTTAGATGAGTTTCCGTCCAAGGTTAAAGAGTCCCATCTACCCGGGGTGCTGGTGGTGTTTTTGCTCTAGCTGGAATTGAACTCCAGACCACCAACTTGAGATTTGCTCAGTTTAGACCACTCGGCCACCCAGCACCCTTTCAGTAGTTACCGTTTTAAAATATTACAATACACATTAACGTAACTGCATGTAAAAAAAGGGGGTGGGTGGAAATAAGTCAAGAATTATTTGAAGATAAATAAAAAAAATTTTATTCATAAGCTTTTTGAAATATTATATCAAAATCAGATTAGCTTAAGTTTCCAAATGTATTGACGTAATTGACATTTCTTGTATAAAAGTTATTAGATCTAGACTATATAGCTTTTTTTTTGGTTTAAAAAAAAAAAAAAAAAAAAAAAAAATAGTTTGTTAAAACAAAAATAGCTTTTTATACGAGAAATGTCACTAAAAATGTATATTAAAAAATAAATCAAATTTGAACAATTATTTACTTTGTTAATTTTTTTTTTTTCCATCATTTAATTTCTAATATTATTTGATTTATAAAATCAAATAATGTTAGAAATTAATAAATAAAAATGGAAAAAAAAAAATCATGATTGTTAATAAAGTAAATAATTGTTCAAATTTGATTCATTTTTTAAATATAATTTTAGTGACATTTCTCGTATAAAAAGCTATTAATTTTTTAATCATCATTTAATTGAAACATGTTTTTTGCTTATTTGTGGACATATTTTTCCCAGTGATATCATTTATAATACATGCAACTATCAAATTTAATATTCACAGTACATCATCTCAGTTAAGTGCAACACTCATGTTACATCATCTCAATTAAGTTAAATATTAGGCTACTCAGAGTACAACATTTACGTGAAGTTCAATACACTAGCACATCATCTCAGTTAAGTTCAATACTCATAGCAAATCTTCTGAATAAAATTCAACTTTTAAAGCGCATCTTCTGAATTAAGTTTGACATTCAAAGTGCATCTTCTGAATTAAGTTTGACATTCAAAGTGCATCTTCTGAATTAAGTTTGACATTCAAATTGCATCTTCTGAATTTAGTTCGACATTCAAGGGACATCTTCTGAATTAAGTTTGACATTCAAATTACATCTTCTGAATTAAGTTTGACATTCAAATTACATCTTCTGAATTAAGGTCGGCATTCAAAGTGCATCTTCTGAATTAAGTTTGACATTCAAAGTGCATCTTCTGAATTAAGTTCGACATTCAAAGTACATCTTTTGAATTAAGTTTGACATTCAAATTGCATCTTCTGAATTAAGTTTGACATTCAAATTACATCTTCTGAATTAAGGTCGGCATTCAAATTACATCTTCTGAATTAAGTTTGACATTCAAATTAAATCGCCTGAATTAAGTTCGACATTCAAAGTGCATCTTCTGAATTAAGTTTGACATTCAAATTACATCTTCTGAATTAAGTTCGACATTCAAATTACATCTTCTGAATTAAGGTCGACATTCAAGTGCATCTTCTGAATTAAGTTTGACATTCAAAGTGCATCTTCTGAATTAAGGTCGACATTCAAAGTGCATCTTCTGAATTAAGTTTGACATTCAAATTACATCTTCTGAATTAAGTTTGACATTCATATTACAACTTCTGAATTAAGTTTGACATACAAACTACATCTTCTGAATTAAGTTCAACACTCATCGCACATTATTTCAATAACTCTTTTTCCCATGAGCTTACCATACACAGTACATCATGTTTAACAAATTCATTATGAAGCCTTCCTGTCGGTAGCTTTGAGTGGCTACCTGTCATGGATGTCGGATGTTTACATTCTTCGCCTGCTTTTATTTTGGTTTAAACGTCCATGTCATGACAAGGTCTAACCACCCCTAAGACGAGCGGTAAGTAAAACAGTCGAATGTTCTTTTATGTCATAATGACCAAGAGTCATTCCCCTCTCCAGGTTTTTACCAGCGTAGGTCAACTTCTGCTGGTCGGTCACTATGTCTAGCCTCTTGAAGATCTCGTCCATCAACTTCTCAACACGATACTCTCGTTCCACATCAAATGCGTAGTCTTTACTGTTAGCAAAGTTTTTAACAAATATTTGAAAAGTGTGACGTTGCGGGATAGGTCTCCCAGGTACACACGTATCGTTACCAATGGTAATGGTTCCCAGGACATCAGCTTGTCTGTTTACTGTTCCACTGACATTTGCAATCCCGTTACCGTCTCTGAGAACCGTGTACATAGTTGGTTGATCTCCTGGCCTTGGACTTACGGTAACACTCTCAGTTGAATTGGCTGATTGGTTCCTTCTCGCAAAACGAGGTGATTCACTTAGTGACGCTGTGATGGTCAGTCCGTTCCCGTTGTCTACTTCCATGGGCGTGGGGCGACCGTTGGGGACATGAGAATCCCTGCTGCCTTGGACTGGATTTCTATTTACGTTGTTGTGAGTTGGCGCCATTTTTTCTGTGAAAACAATTTAAACATTTTTCTTAAAATTACGCTATGAAATACACTGAGATTTCCTTGTCACATTCTTGGATTATATAATATGTGCACCGGCTTTTATCGTCCTATTCAAAATTCAACCCTCTTTTAAATACTCCATCTCGCTCTCTCTATCTGTCTCTATCCCACTCTATATCATATATCTCTCTATCTCATCATATACAGCAATCCGGGTAGTTACAAACATATTCGTATAGTTTTTTTTTTTAAAGTGTTTTTTTATAACTTTATTTTTTTAGTAGCTCTATATAGTATATCCCTACTTTAATAACTATAATCAAACAAGTGCATCATCAGTATAAGTATAAGAATATTTGTATCTATGCAATAAAATTAAATCTTACGCCTTACAAAAATTTGTTCAGAGATATTGTTAAATTTTATGAAATGTATGGCTCACCTTTTAGTTCAGCTGTTTATTTGAATTTCACACTTGATAAATTTGATGGAGTTAATAAGATAGTTTGTTCGACTTGAATAACAAGACAAAGCTGATCCAACGCTACGGATTGCCTGTATTTATACCCCGCTATACCGAAAGCGAATCTAGGTTATGTAAATGAACACGCAATAGTGAGAACGGGAATTTCCATACGTCATAATTATATCCCCGCCCCCCCCCCCCAACCCCTTAAATCCCCAACGTTCCGGTGGTAATATTCTTTCATAGATTAGAACCAGTGTTAATACGTTGTCATGTTTCGTTGCATTTTTTGTTTAATTTTAAAGAACTATTTGTAAAAAAATGACCTATCCTGAACTTATTGACGCCATGTGCAGTAGTGATAGACCTTGGCATCACCACAGCGATACGTGACAAATTAAGTTTTCTAAGTTAAAGAATTCAAGGGAGAAAACAAAGGAGTAGGGGAGACAACAACATCCGTTTTTCTAGATTAACGAAACACAAACAATATATGTAAATAAAACAATATGGGTAAGCTTTAGTTATAAGACAATGTACACTTTAAATACATTTCGGCTAGTAACGTCTTCAGTGAAACATAAAAACACATAGCAGTTCTGTTGATTAAATGAAAGGACAGATAAATAATTTTCCTAGATTGGCAATCATCCTAGTACAGATTTTGATTGGCTGTAGGGTACTGTACCCTTGTCTAGATAAATCAGCTAGTAATAACATTTTCCATGTGTAGCAACTCGCTCAGCTCTTGCTTGTCAGGGTCAGTTTGAGTTTTTAATTTGACGGGTTATTTTTGAGTTATGTTGTTTTGTTTATGTTTTCCTTTTTTTTAATGCACTAAATTTTCCTTTGAAATTCAATTACTGAAAAAAGAAGAGTCAAAAATTGATAAATCATCACGATTATATTGACATCAGCTGATGTAAAGAAATATTCTCTTTATTCCAAAAGTAAATGAATCCAATTCGGACCCTAATCATTACATGTTCAGGTATGTACACATAATTATTTTATTAAAATGCCATCATATATATTTTGTGAGGAAAGAGGTGGGAGTATTGTAAGAGGCAGATTGGGAGTCAAGATATGTAAATATATTTGTTTCAGGCATCCATCCGTCCCACGATGGTGGGGACTTCGCAATCCACAAGTCGTACAACGCAACGGATAATGCAAGGGAACGTCAAATAAGAGTGATACAGCTTGTGTCCCAGTGGCGTCGCGGGAGATTTCGGAATTTTTCATTGTTGTACCAATGTTATCCGCCTACGGGACCCCATCACCGGGTTCTAGAAAAGTTGCAATCCAGGGTTAGCGAATCCCATCGGGATTGAACTCCAGACAAGCAACTTGAGATTTACTCAGTTTAGACCACTTGGCCACCCAGCACCCATATATAATTATAATGCAGTTATAGTTCGCCTGTACTGTTACCTAAAGCAGTGGTTGGTAAGTCGCGGCTCTTTAGCGACCTGAGTGCTAATCGGCCATTCGGCCACAAATCGGTTTTGACTCCGGAAAACATGGTTCTTGACGGGTTCTTGAAAAGAAATTTAGGTCTCAAAAAAAAAAAATGTAATCGCCCTGCTGCTGATTTTTGTCTCTTTTGACGTCATGAGTTTGTCGACCACTGACTTATAGTACAGAAAATATTGAACAGAAGTTGTGGCTTAAAAAACAAACTACACTCCACACAAATTACATCCCTAACAAGTGAAGTAAAATAAACTTAAATTTTAAAGAAAGAAGTTTAAGAAGCTAGTTGGCACTCCTTACCAGACTTAGCAGCTTGGACTCAACAGTTTGTGGGCTCTTAAAGTTCTAAGCAGTCTAAACTTGAAAAAAATATAGTTACTCTACGTTACAAATACTACATAATAATACTAAACGTCTTGGATATGATTCTACATAATATAAAATTGAATACATCAAATCAATAATTATTTTCATATCATAATATCTATTTTAATAACAGTAAATTTCATTTCAAAAACACGCTTCTTCCCTAATTAAGGCTCGAAGCGCGGTACAAAGTCAACCATATTTGACAATTTATATTTTGACACAACTAAATTACCAATACAAAACGCAGCAATTAAAAATCTACATCGAGAAATATGAGCAAGCTGGAAACAAGGAGGTAGACTACATCACCCCAGCAGGTGGGTGCAAAAAGATGTGTCTTCAACTTAGTTTTGAAAGACAACAGTGTCTGGCTGTTTCTGAGAGCGGCAGGAAGGCCGTTCCAGGTTCTTGGGCCAGCAAAAGAAAAAGTGCGCCTTCCGTGGGTCTCAAGGTGGACTAGCGGTATCGAGAGTTTGCCACTATTGGATGAGCGGAGTTATCTAGTGGGTACATAAGGCGTCATGAGCGCTTTGAGATAGGACGGCGCCATGTCATGCAAGCAGCGGTAGCACATAGTTGCAATTTTGTGCTCTATGCGAGCGCGAACCGGCAGCCAATGCAGCTCTCTCAGAAGTGTTTTAGCATTATTCTGTGCTTTTTTAAATTTTATCCAAGAGTGTAACTGGAAGACCCACCATAAGAGCATGGCACGAATGCGGACATCAGCCTCTTTGAGGCATCAAACGTTGAAAAAGGTCTGATACGAGAATATGACTAATTCTTCGCAGCGCTAGAAAAATAGCCTTGCAAATATAAATAATGATTGCATTACAGCTCTCACATTATTTATTTTTATGACACTCCAAATAATCTGAAAATTTAAAAAGAAAAGATTAATTTTGGGGTTCAGAAATCAATAAATATTCAAGAGATGGCAGTTTTGTTAAATTTAATGGTGTACCGGTAATCAATTTTATAAATAGGTAAAACCCGTTAACCGTTAGTTATAGAAATGGGGAAAATCCTTTAATATTTGGAAAAAAATCCCCTTTGAAAATCTTAAAACTCAAAAAATAGTGGTGGTGTTTTAACGTTTGAATTGCGTGTAATCGTGGTGATCTCCCTGTTTCGTCATCATCACCTTACAAGTACACGTAATCTCTAATCTATTCTACGGTATTGATATCCCTTCCTTACGATATTGACAACCACGATCTTACAGTATTGACACCTCTATCTTACGGTATTTACTACCCCATCTTACGGTATTGACATCCGCACCTTACGGTATTGACACCCCCATTCTACGGTATTGAAATTCACCCTTACGGTATTCACACCCCCATCTTACGATATTGACAACCCCACCTTACGAAAGGGATGCCGTTCTCCGGTGAGATTCCATTCCCCAGTGAAAAACAAAATTGTATAGATAAAATCGAATCTTCGAGAACGGTATTTCCCAAAATGCAGGGTCGCGCTCCGGAACCGTACCACAAAAGACAAATTATCGTGTCCCTGAAAGAAGAAAAAACTGTTCGAATATCTAGGTTAGATTATCGTGACGCACTCATTAATAATGTGTTGGTAAGTTATTTCTTTCAGTGTTGAATGAGTAAATTAAGATTAGAAATCTATAGAACTAAACTAGAAATTCTTAGAACGCCACTCTTTTACTTTGGGCACGCAGGTTATGATCTAAACAATGGTGTATTACATTTGGACAGGGACCTTCACGCTTATCACCCTGGTCAGTTGTGCGTCATCCTCTGTGGCGTATCTGGATTAAAATATGCCATTACTTCCTTAACGTCATCAACTATTAACCCTTGACCCCTCTCACGGACAACCGCAGTAGCCCCATCCACTTTTTTTTTCTCCTTTTCTTTCACATTTTAATTGAGCTCATCTAATTGTTTTTATAAAGATCGAATACAGTGGCGTAACTGTCACCCGAGGCTGTTTTGGGGTGTGGGGGGGGGG